TGTAAATTAATTTAATATATTTGTATTGAATCTTGTTAAAATGTTTTATAAAATGAACTTTAAAAATAGTATGTAATGCCCTAACTCTACTGTGTCAAGGAAATTACACTGATGTCATCACTTACATCAGAGACTGTCTTCATTAATAGTTAAAAATTTTACAGTAAAAATGACTGTACGACTTAAGTCATCTGTTTCAAAATGTCTCATAATTTTAATATTTTTGAACACATCAGTGGCTTATCTGCATACAGACTTGAAAGAAATTCTCTCTTGCCGTCAGTAAAATGAATATTATCTTGCCCGTCCAGACTGACTGATAGCCCCTGGTATTTGGCCAGAAGGGTATTAGCAGGTGCCCCTGATAAGCAAATGGAGCCATTGTCCCCCTCACAATCCTCATTAGTTATTTTTATTGTCACTAATGATAACTAATTAGTAGCCGGGATGACATGGCCAGTTAAGCGACCATGGTTGACAAGGAAAGTCTTGATATCCACCCGACAGGATGACGTCCCCAGCGGTCAGCTTGGATGCAGAGGTGGTCAGTGTGTCATTCTCCACCTGCCTGTGTCCACTGCTGGTCAGCTTTGAAATATTTTAATGGATATTGAATGGGCATTGGATGGTCAGTTTTCGTGTTTCGTCATAGATGGTGAAACTCCCCTGATGAGATTACCTTTCCGTGTCCCTGACTTTGTTTTCGTTAAAAAATCTAGGTCTCAGATAATTGATGGGTGCGTCACCGCAACCGCTACGCACGGCTTTAACGGATTGAATCATTGCCCTTTTCATTTATGACTGTAATCAGTGTTTGTTTTCGTTAAAATCTCACCTAATGAAGATAGTTATTATCTCTGCATTTATTTATATGTATGTTAGGGAAGTTGACTTTTTATGTAATTTTCTTTTTGAACAATGAAATGTTGGTGAACATGACATTTGAAAACTTTAGTGATTTGACATTTGTGCTGGTGATTTTTAGATTTTGAGAAAGTAGAGTAAAACTTTTCCAATGATTTAAAGAAAGAAAACAGATGACATGCTTTTGTATGCAGATCTCACACAGATGTTCAGGTAGAAAATATTTTCTTGTATTTTTCAAGTTTAACTCAGTTCACCCATCAAATTATCAGGATCTTCATTTCTTATATTTTGCCTTTGATTGAATATTTTGTACCAAAGTTTATGTAAAGTGGTCTAAATATGTAGATTCACAGGGAGACTTTTAACCATTGCAAATTTGCCTCTTTTTATAATCAAAGAATGTACAGATCCAGTCAGTAAATAAAGTCACATAGTAAAAAAGGGATTTCTTCAAACTTTTTCAAGGGGCTTTGTAAAAAAAAAGCAGATCAGTTAATTTTTATCTGAGCCCATCCATGCACAAGCATTGCTCTGGAAAAATAGCAAATACATGTGCAATCATCGTTTCATTAACAAAATTAAAATTACTACTACTTAAAGTGCCCCTCAAGTTGTAACTTCAAACACCTGCACTTGGAGAGATTCAATTAACTTGTAGACCTCGGTGTTGAAAAGTAATGAAAATATTATGAGATACTGCTGGGGCACCACTTTTGTAGGGCATCAGCCATCCCCAAGGTTGACTAGTAATGATAAAATAATTTGAGTCATCTCAGGAGGGGGGTTTAATAATGAAAATCCTTTTAAGCTATTGTGAAGGAGACATGGTTTTAAAAGAGGCTGAAAAAAAAGAGCATGTTGTTTTTAACGGGATTGTAAAGTTAACAAAAAGTAGCCCATCAAAATGCTGGTAGAAAGGGATGAATTTAATAAGATTAATATAAGGACAGGTGTTTTCTGCTGAATGCAAGATGTTGTATTGATTGGATTAAATAAAAAAGTGGATGCATTTATATGTATATCATGGAAGATCAGGTTTTTAAAAAACTAGAATGAGAGGAAGATGCCTGGAACATTACAATATAGTTTTAAAGATAAACAAAAGTTCATTTCTGTCATGGATTTATTTTAATGGAAAGCTTCATTTTTGTGGTAAGTTTTTGTATCAACAAAACAGAAACAAATAATACAAGAAACAGTTTCCAGTGTATTCCAGAAGTACTGAGTAATGATTATTGTATTAGTGAGTTTAATGTGACCATTGAAGTGCACATTAGCATACAATGGTCAGGATTTTTTCCATTGTTTGGCCACTGATAGCCACAAGGCATATGGAAAGTGAAATCACCCCAAACCTCATGTATTGTATTGTTAAAAACATCTGTATGTCAACTAAGTTAATTATTTCCACCTGCTTTTTGCCTTGGGATTATAATGGAGTAAAAAAGGCATAATTTGTTATGGGCAGCTGAAATAAAGAAACACACTGAAGGAAATATCGTGATTATTATGTAATTGATTATGAAGGGGATTTTTTTTCGTAAATTTAATTACTAATTTGCATATTGAATAAACTTTTTTCCAGTATATATATACTGGGGTAGCGCTAACACTCGCCAGTTTAGCCAAATGCTAAAACTGACTTAAATTGGCTAAAGAAAAGGGGCTTGATTTGACATGTTTTAGCCAAATTATAACCATTTTGATAACAAATTGACAAAAATGTGGTGATTTGGCTAAGCGAAAAAAATTGCTAGAGCTACCCCAGATATATATTATATAGATGTCTTCTTACTAGTGAAAATGAAGTTTTTTGTTGTGGAAGGTGCAATTTTTCTTTCTTATTTTGCCAAAAATCTAAAGACATTCTCTCCAAGTTATTACAAGATGCGAGGCCCCCGGTTTTTCATCTGGGGTTGTTTTTAAGCCATCAGTCAAAGGGAAATGTTCTTCCATTGTGGCTCTGACAGCAGAGTAGCTTCACACGTCAAGGTTCAGTCCCTGCTATGTGATATAGCTTCTGGTGATCACTTGATGGAGTAAGTGGTAGCACACGAACGAAACGTAGTGCCTCGATATGAAACCAGACAACTTTTGTGTTTTTAATCTCCAAATACGAAAAAAAAATCAATTAAGCTAATAAATAGGCTAACGTTAAGAACGTATTATATCGTTTGTTTTATATTAATTATTATTTAAGGTCATTATAATAAACAAGTCGCATTTCGATGTACTCCATGCTATGACCTTAATATATAAATAGCAATTTTTACGAGATTACAAATTGTATCGCATTGTTTGGTTCCATTGCCTCTCTTTCAAAAATTAGAACAGGCACTCCAAAATCGTAAAACGAAATTAAAAATTTTATATTGGCCGAGTTCCCCCACTGTTAAGAATATCCTCGCAGCATTATCTGCGGTTAACCTTCCTACGATTTTCAATGTATTTTGCAATGTAATTCACATTCCTCCAGATGAAGAATTTTATTAATCAAGAGTGGGGGAGGTGTGAAAATCCCCATTGGGGCCACATATAACACTATAAATACAATGGGAATCCCCTTAAAATGAAGGTAAAATAGATGTTTTTTCTAAGGATTTCAGACGGATTTACTTTTTACAACTTAAAATCAATAGAACATTTCTAATATAAACTTTCAAAAAGACACCAGAGAGCTAATGAAATAAAATCAACCAGACGGTAAACACTGGCAGGCTTTGTCAATTTCACCATTTGTTTATTTCAAACAGCGTACATTTCGCACATGCGCAGTAGTTTGAGACCTGTGCTGTAAGTGGTAGAAATGTGCTGTTTTGACCACCTGTTCTCTCTACCTCTGGCTTTGCCATTGAGAATTCATTTTTTTACCTTTCAGCATATTTCCAGTTATTAGAAAGTGTTTCAGCTGTAATATAGCTAGAGCATTGGACTGTTTTGAGTTACAGTATGGATTGTCTGCTAAAAGATGTAGGCTGACTTTTAATGTTAATTTCAGCAGGTTTCTTGGCAAAAGAGAAAAACTTTCTTATGGAGTATTACA